ATGCTTTGTGCCTTGTGGGCAAGGAAACTGTATACAGCTGCATATGATAGATTCAATGCTATTGTGGCTCATCAGACCTAGCCTGGACTTAGCCATCCGTACACTCCAGTCAATTATCATTTCCCTGCATGTAACGTCTGTGTCTGGTTCCTGTGTTTGCGATTACAATCGGTTGAATTCCACACGACCAATCAGCAAGTGCGGGAGGCGGGTGTTGTAGTTAGATGCGTGTGACATCAAGAGTTTGCACCGAACGGGCAGGTTGTAGTTTGGCAATGGCGAAGAATGCAATAGTAAAGTAATCTGTTCTGATCAAGAAATTGAAGCCGGAGCAAAAGGTTTAGAAAATGTAATTGCTGGCAAAGATTGTGGGGCTACTCCCCACGGGCTCCGTTAGCGGCAAAGAAGATGGCTAGGCTAAATGCTAACGACTCACTCAGGCGCATTACATACATTGCTGTAAATTCAGATCCAATCGTTTCAATCTGCAAAAGGAGTTAACCCCTCCCACCTGTTAACAGAGCTCAGTGGAGCTCCTCCAGACCTTTAGTACAAAATGTAATTTTTACAATGGTGTGGTACGACCAGGCTTCATCCGACCTAACGCCACCAAGCGCAGAAAGCGGAGAAAGTGTGTGTGGATCAGTAAGTCTGGGCGTCTCTACCCAACAATGGATAAAGCGGAAGAAAATAGTTGGATGTTATTGGGTAGTGGGGGAAACCGGAGGGCCCTGAGGAAACCCACCCAGATACGCGGAGAAACACACAAACTCCACACAGAAAGGCCTGGGCAGAGACAGGATCAATCAAACCTTCTTGCCATGGAGCATGTGCTACCAGCTCAGTAGCGAACTATTGATGTTGTATTTCCAACTGCAGGCATGATGCACCATTTATCAGTCAAATTATCATGCTAAAGATTTACACCGCTCTACTCTTACTAATCTTCAATCTTATGAGTATAAAGTGTGATGCATGGCCCGGCGTGCGCACACACACCTCGTGCAGTGCATCAGGCTGTGTCCCGCTGTTAAATGCTCTCCATCAAAAGCATTCCTGGAGTCTCCCCTCTCCAGTCTCCAGTCCCTCTTCCCTGCCAACAACAACCCAGAGTAAAACTTCATACACCCATCTGACTTGAATACCTCACTGTGCAACTTTAAAGGCATTGAACTACCTGTGCTTTCATCTCATATTATTCATTCATCAGTGGTTGTCTCAGCTGTCTTGCTCTGCCAGTGGAAAATTAACAGATAAATTATATACAACTTGTATCACTCATTCAAGGCTGTTTGGGGAGTAGCTGTCAAATATGGGGAATGTACTGTATATTTTCTTGCCAACTTTCTTTGGCCTTCAAAATACTCTTTTAGCTTCTAGAGGATGTGCAGATCTGGAAGTCTCAGTGGGAGGAGTGTTTCTGACGTTGGCTGGCTGCATTTTCCTGTCATTATGGGATCACAGGAGACGCAAACCTATGCACTCCCTGCTGTGTGGGAACTTATATGGAAGAGGTTGGTCTGTTTCTGCATATGCAACGCATCTGTGAAGACCACAACAATCACCCAAGTGCTTCACATTGTTGAGTAGTCCATTATAGGCAACTTAATGGGAGAATTCCTAAAATCAAACCTCATCTTAGGCTGTGACAACACTAGAAGAACTGGTCTTGTTATAATATTTTAAATCTGTCTAAAATAGCATAAAAGTGCTGTATATAATGTAATGTAAATAAAGAATCTAAACATGTCCTAAATATATATCAAATAATATAGTCAGACTTAAAATTGACCATTTCAAATCTGCTATTTAAATCAAAAGTAAAATAGTTTGCACTGGCCACGCCCATATCGGTCAATCTCTAAAAATAATAACTCCCCCGTGAACATCATCACTCATGTGCAGACATGTCAGCAGCCAATCAAAGTAGTAGCAGTGGATTAAAAAAAAACATGTATTCAAAATCAATAACTGTGGATGACACTCATTGCGATAAAATTGTGATTGTCTGTTAAATGCAGGAATACAAAGATTCTTCAAATATTCATGAACTACTCTAAAAACAACTTTGAGAATATGATTTTGCATAATACAGTGTCCCCCTTAAAGGTACACTGTCGTTTTTTCTCCCATCTAGCGTTGAGATCATATAAAGCAAGTCTACTTCTACCAACATTACTACGGAAGCCTCCGAGGACCATATGTCATGTTTGACCGTGGTCCCCAACACCCGGTAATTCCCCTCACCACTAAGGTGAAAAAGAATCCTCTAGTTTGATAAATTACTGGATCGCTCCATACATGCCACAAATGTGCCTCACGCACGTGCGCGGAGGTGGACATGTAAACAAGCCCGCGTTGTGAAGCGGCACGCGCTGCACAGAGGTGCTCTCCCTTGGATCTAATATATAGTTTTACGGACGCGGTGAGAAAAGAAGAGACGCTTGGAGGAATGGGATATCTGTGGGAGCTTAAAACCACGTTGATCCGAGAGAGCAAGAGGACATTGCCTTGGACACAGCCACGGCAGAACTGCGGCAAAAAGTAGTAGCACCTGTGAAACAAAACGCAATTTTTGTCCCTTATCAACATATATATTTTAAGATGGCGCATTGACATGGATAGTACTCTGCTCTCATGGACATTTATAATTTAAATTCTAAGTCTATGACAACAATTCAAAAACATGGTGGAGGTAAATATTCTTAAAAAGGTTAGATTTGTTACTGGTTTACATGTTTTTTCATTCGGATCAACTGTAAAAATGACAGAGTACCTCTATATCTACTTCAAGTTCACACAAAGACACTCATGAAAGACAAGTATATTCTTTGCCTGCTTTTGTTTCAGCCCCAAGGAACAGATTTTAAAAGACACTGTGAAGGTCAGGAGTCTTGGAGCGATGAGGGAGGAGAGGAGGAAACCGTGGAGCGGGGAGGTGTGGGAGAGGTTAACCGTTTGAATGACTAAAGTTCAATCACAGGTCCCGCTCCAGTGATCCTCTGGGGAAGAAGGGAGTAGAGCAAAGAGTAGGGGAAAAGTGACGACAAGGAGGAAAGAGAGCGGGCAGGGGGTAGTGGAACTGGGAACACTTAAAGGTAGAGCTGAAAGAGGCATGCCAGGAAAGTAGGAGGAATTATTGTGTTAGGGAAAAGAAATTACTGCCTCAATGATAAAAACAGGATGTGCCTTTGGAGTAGATTTTCATTGCAGGATGTTTTCTACATTTGTATAGATAGGTTGAGCTAAGTGGAGCTGGTAATGCAACTGCCAGCGGTGTCAACTTGACCTCTTCTCATCAAAAACAATGACTCGAACAGACACTTTGAAATTGGGTGTTTGGGTTCAGGTCAGCATAGATCCAGGCCGGAGTTCGAGTCATTTCAAACATTCTTTATCTCCAAGGAATTTTAATGAGAGGCATTTGCTCGATTGCAGCAGGAAATAAAATCAATAGAATGTATCATATTTGACCATCGAATTTTTTTTTCTTGTAAATAATACATGTCTGTCCCAACAGAAAGGGTCTTGTAAAAGTAAAATGGTGGGAACAAATCAGATCACATGCTTTCTTCATATAATTTGGAAAAAAGTACTATGAAAAAATCATCCCATATCCCTAACTTAGATGAGATACAGTAAGAATTATGTGACTATACTATCAAAAGAAAGAACATGTACTGTAAGTAATGTTAAATCAACGTTTTAATCAAAATGACTGAAACCCAGACAGGTATTTTTTTGCGCAAGAAGGACGTATTTAAAAGTGGAATGAATATGGGTCATAAAGAGTGAGACATAGTAGTAAAGACACAGTAGAAGTGAGCTGTCTGTGTCTGATGAGAAAGCCATACCACCATACTACCACTCCCTGGGACAGAACAGGGAGGATTGTGGGGAAGAGGAGAGGAGAGAGAGGCCTTGAGAATACCTCTGCGTGACTAATGTCTTTTTCACACATTTCACCGTCTTCCATCCATCATTGTGTCCACCTCCCGCTCCCCTGTTAAAACAAGAGCTGCCAGGCCTCTCGTAGTACAAGGCTACTGTAACGTTTTATATTCTGTTGGATGTATTTACCGTACACCTAACCTCATTATATATCTGTCTGGGGACTGGACCCTGAAATGACTATGTTGCAATCATCTTTGCAGAGGGCTGTGCTGTTTGTAAAATAGAGTAACTACTTTACCCTAGCGGCCATCACAAATCTAAATCCTTCCCCTTTTGAACTTTGCAACCGCATACATCTTAATCACCTCTTCTCTGGGACATGACCTGAAACGAGCTTTATTTTCCACATTATTTTTCATATTGTTGCCCTAATAAGTTACGGTTATAGCATTGTTTATTATCCCCAAGACAACCAAACCCTTAGTCTTTTCCCCACAGCATTACTCATTATTTCGTACCTCTTAATATTCTCTTCAGTTTTCCATTTCCGTAATGCACTCTATATTTCTTATCTCAGTGAACCTCCAGTGGTACCCCTTGACTTCTCACCATCTCGGTCCAATTTTCTTCACAACTTTCCCAGTCAATCAGTCAGCTTTTCCCTCCTGTTTTTCTAGTGTGAGGTTTCACAGTACAGCGGCTACCGAGCGATCGGGGTCACACCTGATTTTCTGACTCGACATGACATCTCTGCTGATAATAAGCCAGTGGGAACAATATAAAGTTTGTTAAAGTGAAGACGACATGACCACAAGATGACTCTGTGCAGAAGTCAGTGGTTTAGAACTACACAATTAACCTTTGTATCCTCGGTGAATTGACTTGAGAGGCCAACAGGAATTTGATCTTTCAACTCTTAAAATGCCTTTGCACTTTATGAAGGTAATACTACACTTAGTTAATTTTTTTAACAAATGTAGAATATATCATAAATTTGAGACTCAATATGACTTCAAATTCATTTTTATAATGGGGTTTATAAAAAAGACTAGACATTGTGAATACATTAATAAATAAATAATGATAAAAATAAATACATTTTTCAGGTCCCCCTCGAGTGTCGGAGCGAGTGGCCCATCGGCAGAGCATTCGTCTGGGTCGTACCATGAAGTTGCCGTGTCCTGTGGAGGGAGATCCACCACCTCTCATCATGTGGACCAAAGACGGACGTAACATTCACAGTGGCTGGACGCGCTTCCGAGTGCTGCAGCAGGGTCTGCGAATCAAAGAGGTGGAGACTGAAGATGCTGGGACTTACATCTGCAAAGCCACCAACGGCTTCGGCAGCGTGAACATCAACTACACCCTCATTGTAATAGGTAGGGCCATTTGTATTTGTCCTTCTATAAGATTAACGGTAACGACGTTTCCATCAGACAAACAACAATTCACCAGCAGCAGTTTGTACAGCTACAATGTAGGGTTACACAGTTCTTCCATCAGTGTCACAACTGATTATAAAATTGTGACTTTGAATGAAATTGTCCTTTTTTTTCCCCGTAAACTTTTTGAATGGGCCTCTTTTAATCATGCATTTTTCTGGCCACTGTAGTGGGGGGACCGCCCACAGGGGACCGCTCACCTGGCACTCATATGCAGATGCTTTCCCTTGCTCTTGTCCATGTAAACAACATTCGTGGAGAGATGAGTGTGTGTCAGTGACAGTCTCTCCTCCACAGCCAACTGTGTGTGTGTGCACTTTTCCATGTGTTTGCGCACATGCCACCTTGCCTCTGTGTGTGTCAGATTTCAGTCGGTCGACTGGATGCCAAAAGACAGATTAAGACTGTGCAGCGTTCCAGAGAATCTGACTAAAGCATCTCGCTGCCCGCCGTCGGCTCTTCAAAGGGCAACACAAGTAAAATGCTTCTGATCTGCACTGCCAACCTCTTTACTTTAAATACTGTATGTACCTGGATTATTATTCAAGATCGGACTGGTATGCATTGCTAAATACATAATTTTGTGTATATGCCTCTTTTGTCATCAGTCATTCATTGGATCAGGTTTACAGCGTGGAAAGCCTTCACAGCTGCTTTTCACTTGTATTCTGGTTCATGTTCAAGATGCAGTCATAGTAATATTTGTGTGGTGGGACAAATAGGCCAATTGGAAATGAAAAGGACAGTGACTCTTCAGTAATCATTATCGGTATGTGATCCAAAACTGTATTGGCGCTGACCCACACTTCAAAGGCATGCTGGCATCAGGAGGGCAGAGGGGCGGGTGGGGGCAACAGCTGCCGTTGAGGTCATCCAGGCGGACAGCTGCTGCACCCCCTTCTCTGGGCCTCTTTCATTCACACACATTAGCATTTACACACATACATTTGCTGTGAAAACAAAGGACTGGGGAAACCCACAGAGGAGACACACAGCTTTGTAATTTTTTTGGAATATTCCAAAGAGGCCCATTTTTTTTTGACAAAACATTTTATTCATAATTTGGGACAAACATTGCAATTTAATGGTTTCATTTTTTACATTCTCTTCAAAGTGATACATTTATCAACATTGGACAAAATATATATACCTGAAATGCAAACTGATACAAATGTATGTATTTATCATAATTATTTGTATACTGGCATATGGCACAGTATGCAAAAGAACATTTCACATACAAGCTTTCAACTTGTTGACCAGAGTCACCAGAAACAGCAAATGTAACAAATGTTTCTATTTGAAAAGATGACAGTGACGTGTAAGACTGCTACAGAGTTATTCTGTAGCAGCTTGTCTGGTAGACAATTAGCATAGTGGTTCTTCATTGCAGCAGCAGTCTGCATACACAGGCCTAAAGCATGGTGGGAATGAATGACGGCATGTGTCCAGTTGTCTGTGACATGGAAACACTGCTCCTATTTACTCTGTGGTAACTCATAGTCTTGTTTACCACTGCCCCACTCACATTCAGTCTGTCCTCATCGTCCGCTCTTTCATCTTCTGTGTGGTCCTGTGCTGATTATTCACTGACTGCTCCATTTCACAGTAATGAGCCTACACCTGCATCTTATTCCTTCATCCTCATTTTCAAACCCAACGTATCTTTAACACCTTTTTCCTATTAGTGCTCAATCTCGACCTCATTCTTGCTTTCCTCGCCCACTCGGCTCAGCTTTCCATACCACGGTTTAATTTGTATCAATATTTCTACAGCTTCCCAGCTTTTCCCCTGAAGTAATAGCACTTGATTGCCACAAGACGTATGTATTCACTGCCACTGTGCCATGCGGTGGAGGGTTTTGCAAGATTCCCTGAATTTTTCAATTTTTTTATGTGTATTGTTTGGCATCCACTCAGGCTGTCTCGTTTCTGATCCCATGTGTGTGAGCTATGACCAAATTAAGAATGTTTTTATTGTGTGGTTGAGTCTCCATGAGTTGATTTGACAAGGTTCAGGTAAGAGGAACTGCTTTCACTACATAAACCAAAAATCAAATGAAAGCATAATGAAAAACTTGACTACACATTTTACGTCTGTTATAGCTAGGGCTGGGAGATAAAACGATAATGATATATATCGCGATAGACACGTGTTCGATATCAATTGAAAACAAGGTCGATAGAATGTTTGATAGTTCAACTTCACTCCGTTAGAAAAAACCAAGCCCCGGCGATCCAAGATGGCGCCCTATTCAAATGAATGGTTGTGCTCAGTGGCGCTTTGTGACGGCATGGGGGCTGAAAAGATTAGCGGAAGTTGCCTGAAACTCGCAAAGATCTATGGGAAACTCGCAAAGATCTATGGGAAACTCGCCTGTATTTGGGCATCGTCTGGTCCTCCCGGTTCTGCGCCAAACACGCATGTGTGGGTCTCACACCGGGTCTCACGCATGTGCACAGAGGGGCTCGGCTGCGCTCTGACCAATCAGAGCAGTATGAGATTTCATAACACTTTGAAGCAACTTTTGTTAAAGTTAAACTCATCAATCTATCAATGTGCAGAAGCCAGTACTTTTCCCTTGTTTTGTCTATCTGAAGGCCAAGCTACAAGCACACCGTGGCAGCTGCTGATTGGAGGTCTCCATGCCTCCGCTCTGTATAATACACTTGCATTCTGTTGTTTCTGTGATCGTGTGCTTTGTTCGTGCTGTCTCTACCATCGACAATAAAACATGTCTTCTGTCTGAATTAAAGACGCGATCCCAGACTATGTCATCTTCTTCAGCAGTTCATCAGAGCGGGAGTTAGAGCGAGAGCCAGACGAGCAGAGTTTGTGGCACTAAAGTGTGGATTTAAACAAAAACGAAGGATTTAAGAAGAAAAAAAGTTCAGGATGACAAGGGACACTAAAATCCCCACAAAATCCGATCTTTATTAAAGCTGTAGGTTCTCTGTCAGCTGAGGTCGAGCTGTTTTAATATGCATTGAGTCCTATGGGGAAAATTTCTGGGTAGCCCACGTGAATTTAGTCTGGTTCAGTCTGCAGTACCGCGAGAATCCCCTGAGCATATGGGTTATTCAGCTACAAGCTAGTAATACCCTATCCAGTTATTATAATAGATCCATGGAAAACACAGGAAGTAAAGCCTAGTCAACAGCGCGCGGCATTCTGGGGGGATGGAGGCTTCTCGACCTATCACAGCCGGGCAGGAACCGCAAAACGTTCAGGGAAATGCAAAAACAAAAAGTGCACCATGCGTAGCGTCCATGGATCTATAGATAGTTTTTCAATGCCGTGTCAATAGTTATGCATGTCCTGGCGAGGAATAGCATGTGCGGCGCGGGAGAGGCAGTGAGTACAGAGACTCGATGCATTCGGCGAAAGCAAGAAATGAACTTTTTCCGGAGCCGTCACAGGGACACAAGACACTCGAAAACAGCCAAAACAGGAGCTAAACCAGGACTAAACCAGGGTTAAACCAGGACTAACAATGGGGGACACTGTGCTTGTGAACACATTCCTCGAGCCTCATTCCCCTGTGACTATAAACAAGGGTTGATGACGTGTGTTTATTTATTTATTTAGGTTTAAAAAAAACAATCAATTTATGTCGTTATCGACCGATATGAATTACTTATGTTGTGATATAGTTTTCAGCCATATCGCCCAGCCCTAGTTATAGCTATAAGACAAGAGTTGTGATAACTGGTATACATGATACCGTCTGTGATATTAATGAGCCACAATAACAATATGGTGGTCTATGGTGGTACAATCCTCCTTCGTTTATTCAAGTAGATATACAGTATAGTATATAAAGTACTTATTCTCAAATCTGTAATATCCCTATCTCTAGGGACAGGACTAGGGACAAAGACACATGAAGCGTGCATTTGAAAATATTTATAAATATTGAAACGTTTTCAATATCGCTGCATGAACAATCTATTAAATCAAAATAGCAAACTTGTTGGACGCAAAGGACAAATTGCAAAGACTGCGTTTATTTAAGTCCATTGCAATAAAGAAAATGCATACAGAGACAATAATATTCTCACATAACTGCTTAAATTACTTAATTCAAGTGTTTTATCAACAAACCTTGTTGTACTAGTAAAAAATAAAAATGCATTGTGTTAAAAAAAAAAAATAGAAACTCAAGATCACATTATTAATCAGAAAAATCACAATTAGAAATTTTACCAAAACTGTGCAGCCTTAGTCTTCTACATGAATCCCCTTCCAGCTACTGCAACAGACACTGGTGTGCAGAGATTTACGAGACCACTCGAAAGTACAGTATATGGCTAACACTGTCCTGCTAGAAATGAGGTGCCAGCAAAAAACCTCTGCCTTATTCTTCTACTCTTTATTAAATCTTTTCACTAAGCTGTTTGATTTTCCAACAAGCCTTGTATGAGTGAATGATAGAAGATTTATAGCCTGAACCAGATGTGATGACAAAAGGAGCGTGTCTGGAGCGGGGCAGGGAAGTCGTGGAGGAAGGAAGTGGTTTGGTATAGTGAGCTCATATCAAAGGCTGCGCTGCTTTGACGGTGTGCATCTAAGGCTAATGTTGTTTTCATCAATACACCCTGATGCTCTTTAAGGCGAGCGTTGCATTCATTTGTGTTGATTTAGGAGTTCAGTCGCAGCGCAGCAGCTGACACGTGTTCATAATTGGAGAACAAAGGGAACAAGATCAAACCTGGAGTAGTGTTTGTTTAAATAAATGATCTCGGACAAACTGCATGTTGATGAGGATTTGTACTTAATGTTGACATAAGAAAATGACAGCGCAAGACAGGGCAACCCGTCAGGAAGCATGTGAGGATTGTAAAGGACTTCTTTAAGCGTCTGGATTAATCTGATAAAGAGCCCACAGCAGCCCTGAGCCAAGTCATAAATCTTATTTTGTCAGTGTGGAAACTTG